ATAGCAGATGAGTAAGATACTGCCTGTGATGCAAGAAGTTTGCACCAGTGGCAGAAAGAAAAAAATATTTTTGCCCATGTGTCCAACAGGGAACTCTTGCTTATGAAACCAACATGACATGTAACACAAACCCTGGTTTTGTGAAAAGAAAAATGTGCTTTGGTGTTGGCGAGAGTCCTGGATCCTTGACTTACACTATAAGCTCTGATGTAACTCCATCTCCAGTATGAAAAAACAGGGTGGTTGTGCGGATGAAGGGAGGGTATAGGCACATAGCAAGTGCTCAGCAGACGTTTCTATTCTTCATCTCTGTTCTTCCATTAACATCATTCTTAAAGACATTCGCCATAAACCTAAATCACTGAAGGAAACTCAGCTAAACTCCTATAAAGCAGTCACTGAATCAAGTACCCAGGGGAAGAAGATCATGGGAAGAACAGACCCGGGTCCTAAACACTGAGAAGGTAGTTTTTAGCAATGTATATGCTTGTGACAAAACAGGAAGGCCACTCCGTTGATGTATAACACCTAATGAAATTTATCTCTGTAGTATTTATCTAAACAAGTGTTTCACTTGGCATTTGTCCCTTTAAAATTTTTAACTGAGTTTAAAACAGGTTCCTTTTATCTGTGTGAAAGTAAGCACAAACTCTGGGCTACATTTTGGATTCAGAAACTACACAAAATACTCTTAGGATTCCGATTCTAACCGTATTATCTTTTATGAAATACGATTTTGATAACCCAAGTCAGATGAGCTAAAATGATGACACTGAGAAAGCATTAATGGTGCCAGGTCTGAGGTGAGGGAACCTCACTGTGTTTCAGATGAGTGAGGGGAACTCATGTGTAGGAGAATGTGCAGAGTTTCTCCAGATTATCAAAGCACATGTTACCAAGGGAGACTTAGGTGAGATGTTTGTGATTTGAACATGATCCTGATTGATTTTAGGTTCTCAGATATGGCAGAGGGATTGCACCCATCTGGATCTCTGGTGAAAATATCCCTCAAGAAAAGGATATTCCAGATTGCCCCTGTGGTGCCAAGAGAATATTTGAATTCCAGGTATGACCTCAAAAAGTATTCTAATATACAGTCACCCTGGGTTATGTAATTAAATGCTATAAAACTTCACTGAAGTAACATATGCACATGGGTCCTGTTATTTACAGCAAGTGCCTTGTCCCACCTAAGGGACACCTTGGTCCCACCTTGTTCCCTGGAGGGAAATGTCTTTTACTGTTTTATCTGGTAGTCCTTTCTCTTTCTAAATAATGTGCTTTTTCTGATAACTTGTCAGTTTATTAGTTTTTTAGACATTATCCGTTGACTGACTTGTACAATATAAAGGATTTAAATGCAGTTGCTTCTATCATCTTGACCACCCCTCCCCACCTCTCAGTATGGTTAAATCATCATTTTTAGTGTCTCCATTTTGTTACATTTGTAATTTTAAATATACCTTCTTTTCTTGTTCTGGCACTTACGGCCTTTGTACTTGGTGACAGGAAGTGTTTTAGAGGCCCTTCTCAGTTCAGGGTTTTTGGATCTGGTAGGGAAAAAATGGATAGAATCATGAAAATGGGTTTTCAAAAGGAACTGTTATCACAATCCATTTGGGTTGGGTAGAAATGCTCTTGTACTGTGGATTTACTAACCTTACAAAGTGGTAGGTGATACTTGTTTCTTGAGTAAAAAAATGAATTGTGAAAACTATATCCAAAATTAATTAAGTTAGTGTCAAAGCCGGAGACTGAAACACCCAAGATCCCTAATTGTGTCATCCTCTCCTCAGGTCATGCCTCAGCTGCTCAACTACCTGAAGGCCGACACTCTGGGCAGGAGTGTCGATTGGGGTGTTGTGGCTGTCTTCACCTGTGCTGAAAGCTGCAGACTGGGGATTGGCTACACAGAGGAATTTGTCTGGAAGCAAGATATAACAGATACACCCTAAAGACAACATCATAAAGCCTTACAAATGCTCATACTGTCTTAGGCCTTGCAATTCCATTACTGGGACTTTATCCTAAGGAAATAATTATACCAGAGACAAAGATGTTGTTTTTGGTGAGTTTACAATGTGTAAATATTAGTGAAACAAAAATGTCCAGTGACAAGTAAATAAATTTTGGTGTATTCCTACAGCAGAAGGTAATGCAGTCTTAATGATACAGACCTATATGCACATCAAATAAGATACAGGTTTAAAGGGACACCAAGATACTCATACTATGTTCATATCCTTTATAAAAGTATTTTTATATGTTTATGTTCACAGAAATCTGGAAAGATACATACTTGGTGTGAACTAATTAACTATGAATGGTAAGACTAAGTGAAGTGATTGATTTACCTGTGTTTGTTTCTTTCTACTTGAATAAAAGTTAGGGTTTAATTGCCTAATTAAGACAATCTATTAGAGTGTTTTTCCTCCTAAAATTTGCAGTGTTAAAACCAAGAGAAAATTATTTGGGTAAAACCTGAAGAGATTTCTCTGGTAATCAGCCAGGCTCTAGTATACATAGAGGTCCAGAACAATGAGAAAAATAGGCTGGTGCGTGTGAGGACTTCAACTGAATTTGAAGAGAAGCTCTACCTCAAAACAACCTTGATCAGCCAGCAGCACTGCTCAAAAGAGACTGCAAGGCAAGAATGATGGCCTTCCCCTCTATCTCAGTACCACACGGGAAGTAAACCCGAGGAAGGAGGTAGGAATGAGGCGCTGGAATTTCCGTAGGGAAATCTAGCCCAGGACACAGCAGCCTGAGGGAAGGCCCTGAGGTCAGCCAAATCTGTTAACCATGTTAAGGCTCCTAGCCCCGAGTGCTTTACAGTGACGTCTTTGAACAGGAGTGATGCCAGCCCAGGACTAAAGCAAGCATGAAGGACATTGCTGTTGGTCAGTGCTTGAAGACCGACAGCTAATCTACATTGGTTCATATTCTCCCACACCTATCCCCGCTGGCCTGGAAATGGCACTGCCACCCTAAGTACATCTTGGATGTTACACCATCTGTTAATGTCACCCACTACTTGGCTATTTGACTGTAATTTTAGTTGAGCAAGTCCTGGCGTGTTAGCCCATGTTATACGTGTACCTATATTTAAAAAAGATTTGTGTATAAAATACAGTGAAATGGAGCACATGGGTGGCTCAGTCGGTGAAGTGTCTGACTTTGGCTCAGGTCATGATATCCCGGCTCATGGGTTCGAGTTCGCGTTGGGCTCTGGGCTGACAGCTCGGAGCCTGGAGCCTGCTTCCAATTCTGTGTCTCCCTCTCTCTTTCTGCCCCTCCCCTGCTCATGCTCTGTCTCTCAAAAATAAACAAATGTTAAAAGAGAGAAGAGAGAACACCAGAGACTTGACTCCTAACAAAAGAACATGGCATTTCTGTAGTCTTTACAAAGGTATCAAGCCTCTGTCTGGATGCAGCTACTCATTTGCAGGAAATCCAGAGAACAGAAGAACAGGCTGAATAACACCATGAATTTGAAAATAGCAAAACATATACTGAAAGAAACTACCAGCTAAATGGTCTGTAAATTTTAAGGAAAAGAGATGGAAGAGGAATATAAGGAATACGTGCATAAAAACACCAAATTTTTTTTTAATGGAAGACTGCCCTATATTAGTAACTTAGGTGATGACTACAAAATTCGAGATAACTCTATTGGTGGGAGGCGCTGTGGCTGGGCAGGAGCAGAAGGAGGGGTTTCAGGGACACAGGCAAGGTTCCAGGTGGTGGCTGCAGGGGTGTCTACTGAGGAGTACACTGTGCTGGACATATTTGTTTAGGCTATCTGTGTGTGCGGTGTTTCACAGGTAGAAGTTTCAGAATTCAGAAGAGTGATTAGGAAGAAGATCTGTCAACAAGAACTAAAATGTAATGAAAATTTTCATTAATAGGAACCAGAGAATACTTAGGAATTAATTTTTATGAAATGTAGAAGCCCTATATGAATAAATTATAAAACTTTACTGAAGAATCTAAGAGAAGATCTACACGTGGAGAGATTTCTTTCTTGGATAGATGTCTTTCCAAATGATCCTTAACATTACTGATATCAATGGCCATAATTAAGGAAACAGGTAAATACATAATGGTACCTAAGAGATGTCATACATTTGTGATGCCATTGGATTCCCTATCATGGAAATGTGTTTATGACCTACTGATGGGGAAAAAAAGGCAAAGCTATATAAAACTGAACATATGCTTTAGTATTTTCTAAATCTGGGATCAAAAGCACCCCAAAAGGAAAGGACCTGTACAGAATGGGGCTTGGGAGATACCCCGGGGCAGTAAGCAGAAGAACTTTTTCCTTTCTGATTGTATGCCTCTGAACTGTTTGAAAATATACTTTTACAATTAACTCCAGCAAGAACACCCAAGAACTTACAAATTTCCAGCTAATGTTCATGAGAAAAAACACCTCACTAGGCTGTACACATACCCCAGCTTTAATACTGAAGGACTTTGCCCTGGAGCCTGATTTTGCCACTCACTGGCTATGTAACCTGGGACAAATGCCTCATCCCTCAGCTGAGGCCAGAGTTTCCTCACCTAAGAAAGAGGAACAAGGGCGCCTGGGTGGCGCAGTCAGTTAAGCGTCCGACTTCAGCCAGGTCACGATCTCGTGGTCCGTGAGTTCGAGCCCCGCGTCGGGCTCTGGGCTGATGGCTCAGAGCCTGGAGCCTGTTTCCGATTCTGTGTCTCCCTCTCTCTCTGCCCCTCCCCCGTTCATGCTCTGTCTCTCTCTGTCCCAAAAATAAAGAAAAAATGTTGGGGAAAAAAAAAAAAAAGGAACAAAACCTAGTTACAGGTTTTGTGAGAATTACAGGCAATGTATCTGGGAAACAGGAAGTGCTCAATTTATGGAACATCATAAATACATGTTTTGTGACCAACCTTAAATTTTCAGGTAGTTCTTCCATTAAAACTGCAACATACAATGAAATGTTGACTGAAACAAACAAGCAAGCAAGCACACACTGAAATGGTTTCAGGCAATTATATCTAAAATACAAACTTTACCAGTATGGTCACATGAATCTTACAAGGTATCATTTATAACATCAATCTAACACTTTTATAAACAGCATTTATTGTACAGAGTACTCCAAAGGAAGAAAAATATGTACAGCCATTTGTTTTCCTTAATACATCTATTCTGTCCTGCAATACTGAAAAGGCGGAATGTGTCTGGCACAAAAATAACCCCTAGGAGTCACGAATTAGAAAAACAACGCTTTTAAAAAAGATTTTCACTTTTCTGGTAGAAATATAAAAACTGGTTTATGGGGAAGAAATTAAAAGAAAAAGTCCAATCAACCGCAGAGGTGGCTTTAACATTTGAAGTTCTGTACCTCAAACCAACTTGTCAACAGCAGTATGTTTAAAATCTAAATATAAATAAACAGGCAGCACAACTCAAACAGCAGCACAGTACGAGCAACTTACATAATGCTGCAGTGTTCTCTGCGCAGAAGACCACTTCCCAGCATCGCCACGGGGAGTGCACGCTGGAGAGCTTCACCTGGTGCTGCAACCCACAGAACGCCCATCTTCTCACCAAACTGGGACCCTCCACAACACCACCATTTAAATGTACCAAAACTGATTTGTTTTTAAAAAAAAGAACAAGTGGGTGCAGAGGCAGGAGTACATTAACAGCCATTATGTCGTCTTCCTGAAACCCTTTAGAATAGGGTAGATATTTTCAAATGCTTCATAAATTTCTGCTCTGACTTTAGCACCTATGAAGACAAGTCAGAGAAGAGAGGAGTCTGAAATAGCTGTTCTTAACATGTTTAAGAGGTAAAATTACTTTAACACCACAAGCACAATTCTCTCCATTCCCAGTTAGACTGACAGATGCAGACATTAGAACACTAATGAGGGAATCCCTTGATACAACCCTGTTTTTCTTTTTAAAGTACTATTTTCTTAAAATGGCTTTTTAAGCCACAAAACAGTGCCCTAGATGACTCCAGCCTCCTGCCCTGCAGTCCACCACATGTGACCAGTGTTAGTCCCTGCACCAGCTTGTGACCTCAGCAGCTCGTGACCCAAGCAGTGCAGAAGGAATGACCAAATCTTATTCTCCCACCTGCTGCCTTTAAGCAAGCTCTTCTAAACTTCCCTCTGTTGTCTCCTAACGACACAGATGAATCTCAAAGCTTTACAGGAGGATTTCCAGCTTAAAATGCCATCTCTTAAGCAATGTAATGGCCATCTTCCCTACTCTCACCCCCTTGGTGCATATGTTTCCCATCAGAGTGTTAGGGTGAGGAGAAGAAAGGGGTAAAGGTGTCTTCACCACTTGCCAGCCAACTGAAATTACTTCTCAGCACTGAGAAAATGCTGTTCTTGAAACTCTTGCAAACCTCAAACCTCTGGATACTACTTCCTGTTACAACTTACCTGTTAAAACAACTTTTCCAGAAACAAAAATAAGAAGAACAATTCTGGGTTTGATCATTCTGTAGATTAAACCAGGAAATAACTCTGGCTCGTAACTAGGAGGAAAATTACAAAAACAGTTTAGAAATTAAAAGCTGTCCATGCTTCAGGTAAAATGAGGACCTGCGCAGGGAAAATACTGACTAAACGGCAAATTCACTGCGAGGCCAACCCACAGGAAAGAGAACTTAAGGCCAGTGAGGGTGACCTGTCATAGGCACTTGAAGACCAACGAACTCTATTTCTAATGAGTCTGGATTTTCTGATGTCGTAGCAGCCTCATGCTCCCAGTTCAGACAGACTGAAAACAGTAACGATGTGTGTGGTTAACCTACTGGGAAATGCAGGACAGGCTTCTCTGAGGAAGTGGGATCTTGGGTGGATATCTGAAGTGCCAGTGGGAGTTTCCTAGGTGAAAAGTATAACAAGAAGGTGCCAAGTATAAAACTTGGACCAAGAGCCCTGGTCCAAGAAGGGCAGGGCAAGTCTAAGCGGTGCTGGGAGCAGAGAGGCTGGAGAAGTGGGCAGTGGCCTTGTAGGTGGCAGGGAAAGTAAGAGGAAATAATAATCATTTCACTCAAGTTTATACTTTACTGGTACAGCTCGTATAATGTTCACTAGAGAAATTCAAACAACTGGGGACAAGAGTTGACATAACAGGTTGTGGATTTAATTCATGCATTTAAAATGCACTTACTGAGCAATAAAATAACAGGGAGCCAATTTCATCCCAGTCAAGGGGAGTTGTGGATGTCAATAAGTGAAATGGGAGGTAGGAGAATGGTGAGAAAAATGTATTTTCCAAGACAGAAAGAAGAAACTTCAACATTCAATACATCTATCAGTACATCCCTTGTTCTTACATACCGACTGTTCTGCGTATGTTTTATCATGAATAATGTTTACACAGATTATAAGTGAATTGTTGCCAAAGGCAATCACAATACATTTCAGACTCACCTACTAAATTGTTGGTGGGTCAGCACGAGGCCTTCTAACCTTATAGGGAATTTCACATCACAGCTCCCCACCATATTCTGAATCTTGAAGTCCAAGAACTTTGCTGGAAAACCTAATTTCTGTACAACTCTGGCATATTTTCTTGCTGCTAGTCGGGACTGCTCTTCACTAGGGAGAAGAAAAAGTGAGATAGTCATAGTCAAAGACAGCTAAAATAAAATTGAATTCAAAATTCAATTCATCAGACTACTGATATGCCCAGATTTTACAGATGTGGAACATCTCATCATCACCATGATCATTACGATTACTGTATTTTAGCCTACAAATTCCTAAGGTGAAAATTAACAATTTCACTTTAATAGGAAAATATTAATGAGATTTATACTTAGATAATGCATACTCTAATTGTATCTTCTTTTATATTAAATCTCTATCCATTCCTATAACTCATCTGTTGGATAAAACTATGGCTTAGTAATGTACGGCCCATGTAAGAAAAGCAAAATAAAAGCAATAATACTATCATAAGCAAAAGACTCTCAAGTGCAAGGGTTAGGGATAACAGAAATTAAACATACCTACTTGCAATGCTTTTTTTTTCTTGAGGAAAATAAATTTATTTGTGGATTCCTATCTTGATAAAATAATCATGCAACTAGATACCCACTATTCAGTGTGTAGCAAATGGATAAAGACAGCTAAACAGTGAGTGAATAGCATGTCTGGGAAAGAAAAAAAACACCCAGCATTTATTGATAAGCCAGAAGCTTTTGATGACGCATCCAGGAAAAAACAAGCAAGACTCCGAAATGAAGACTTATGTGGAAGCCAGGGAGAGACCCACACCTTGCCTTCTGAAAAAGGCAACACAGGAGATCAGGAACCACTGTGTCCACACCAATGGCCTTCCCCTCATTAAAGACAACTTCAGGGGCGCGTGGGTGGCTCAGTGGGTTAAGCGTCCGACTTCAGCTCAGGTCATGATCTCGCTGTTTCACAAGTCCAAGCCCCACTTCCGGCTCTGTGCTGACAGCTTGGAGCCTGGAACCTGCTTCCGATTCTGTGTCTCCCTAGCTCTCTGCCCCTCCCCCACTTGCACTGTTTCTCTCTCTCAAAACTAAACAAACATTAAAAAAAAAAAAAAAAGACAACTTCAAAGTTCAGAATAAGCAAAAACATCTGCAGCCCTCTTGGTGTGTAGACAACTCCAAGTCATATTAATTTTTATTTTAAGAGCTTAATTTACTTCACTTATTCAAGCTCTATGAAGCTGATGCCACTAATCTTCCTCCAACCTTCACCTTCTACCAGTTACATGAACTCTGTAAGACAAGGTTTACAGCCAAGGCCCCAAAGCACTAACCTTCACAGACAGGATCACTTCAAACAGACGCAGAATATAGGCAACAGCATTTATGAAAGGGGTAGACATCTTAAGACCTGAATAAACCCTAACTCTCATGATGAAGCCTATTTACAACAAGGAGCAGCGGGCATCTATGACCAACACACGTGGTCTGTCCCACTGCCAGTACCAAGCAGATCTATACACTCTCACACCATCTGCTCGGAAATTTTGTGATTCATGACCAATTTGTTTTCACTTGGGGATGAATTTGTGTTATACATAAAATTTGTTACATAAAGGGATTCTTAGTAACAGCTTGGATGTTCCATTTTATCAAAGACACATAAAATGCAACTGAGTAACCATGGTAACGTACAACCAGGAGAATAAACTCCTTAAACCTACCTCTTGGCTCCTGTGCACACCATTTTCCCAGAACTGAATATTAGTGCAGTGGTTCGGGGCTCTCTTATTCTCATGATAACAGCAGCAAACCGCTAAAATGGTCAGAGACAATTGTTAATGAGGTCACGCCAGACTGACTTCCTTTAGGAGAGTAAGACAATGAACGTCACGACTGGTAAAATGGAGAGTTCTCAAAATCCCTGGCACATGTTCCTATACGTGGGTCTCTTACATCACCGGGCAGCACGCATGCTTTTCTTTGCACAGGGAGCAGAATACAGTGACTACTGAGTACGTTGAACCAAGATCTGTGTATTCTTCCACACCATTGCAACAACAACTAATCTTTGCAAAAAATTTTACTTTAATTACGTCCTTAATAAATATCAGTGCCTCTGTTTCTACCTTATATTTGCTAGCTCCTAGAACTGTTAACTTACTGATTTTTTTTGGCAAATCGATTGATAAACCTTTTCTACCTCCAGAGGGAGTAAATCAAATTACAAACATATCAATATGTAGTGGAGTGACCTTCTGTTTCCAACTAGCTTTTAGAAACAGTATTAAAGTATCAACACATAAAATTGCAAATTAAGAAAAAAATCAAACTTTTTATTTTTAATTTGGACTTTTTAACAATGTTTTTACTGCTAACATCGTAACTCGAGGGGAACATATTTCAGCTGTGGGTTGAATGAATGGCCTCCATTACTAGTTTACATGATAAAAAGCAAAAAATTACTTGCAAATAACCCTAAAATTTTAATATCTGATGATTACATAAGAAATATTCATGTATTTCCAATCAGGATAGCTCTTTAACAAATTAGATTCCTTTTGCAATTTTAGTTTTAAAACTGCTCTGTCTTCCTGCAGATTTTACCACCATGCAAAAATACAAGCACTACATTCTAGTTTGTACAAGTCCCAGAAAAGCCTAACCTTGCATTTACTAAATTCCCTCTACTGATTTTATTGATCAAATAATATCATTTCATTAGAGACTATAACATTGTAGAATTATGTATCCAAAATAAAATAATAGATAAAAGATTAATTATTATAATGCTACATACACCCTGTATACTGGCTTACCACAGTGCATAAATGGTTACTTCCAGTGCATAAATGGTTATAAATGTCTAATATTTACATAATTTCTTAAGATAAAGATAAAAACCTGGCCAATAAACAGTTTTTATTTAGCCTTTACTTTCATTTTTATATGCTATATAAGAGCCATTCTATTACTTGGTGGAAGGACAAATGGAGCTATACATGTTTATTTTACCACTTTAAACGATTAAAAAAGGGACATATGACGTGTACCGATGAACAGACAGCAAGACATTTCTTGGTTATCTACCTGCTAGTTTTCCTTATGTCCGTAGGACACAACATTGAATCGCTCTGGCTGAAGATAACTAATAGAAATGGTTGAGACTATAGGAGGCACAACAGATAATAAATATACACTTTATCTTCTTATTAAGGAAATTGTTACAGTTTATCACAAATTCAACCTTACAAATTCAGGTTTGTGTGTTAACCTTCAAAAATTCAACATTAGATATGTACTGTCTAACTTAATATGCTGATATTACATTTCAAAGTCAAAGGTAAAATGCTTTAAAATTTTTTTTTTCAAAGTTTATTTATTTTTGGGACAGAGAGAGACAGAGCATGAACGGGGGAGGGGCAGAGAGAGAGGGAGACACAGAATCGGAAACAGGCTCCAGGCTCTGAGCCATCAGCCCAGAGCCCGACGCGGGGCTCGAACTCCCGGACCGCGAGATCGTGACCTGGCTGAAGTCGGACGCTTAACCGACTGCGCCACCCAGGCGCCCCAAAGGTAAAATGCTTTAAATGATGAAAGAAGTTCAACAGTTCTGGCTTTTCCGTTTTCTTTCTTAAATTCTCACTCTAAATAAAATAAAATTAAAAACAAAAAAGAACTGTTTTTACATTGAAGTATCTTTGTGGTTTCCTCAATGGCTACTGGGCAACCATAAAGATTTATTCTTACTGTAAAAAGAAAGGGTTCTAAAATAATTAGCCATATTTGATGTCCTCCAAATTTTAATTCGCTCAACCAAGCAGAACAAAAAGTCTCAATAACTAAAGGAGTCATTTTCTTTCTTAGACAGTTATTACAGCAACTTTTATTTTGGACATTTCTACCTAGGCTACATCTTTCTCACTTGTATATAAAAGACAGAGATTTAGAAACTCACTCCAAGACCATCACTTAACTTTTTTCTCAATGTACAGCTAACATATATTCATCCAACTTACCTGGTTCAGCTGACAAACATACCCCTACACTTCTACAAAATTATTTTGTCTGCTTTCTATGTAACTCTTAAATACTACTCCAACCTAAACCCAACCACTTTACTTCCCTTTCCTTAAGAAAACGTATTTTAGTAAACTATGAAAAAAAATCTAAACCTACTTCATTCTGTTTTGTTCTGATGATACATCCTAGAATAAGTCATTCAATAACGACTCATATATTTAAAATAATCAAGGTATATTTTACATTAATATTTTTACATTGATACAGCGTAACTTTTAAATGTTGTTATAAGATATATTCTGTTACAAAAGCTCATTCTACTAAAACAGTTATCTTACTAGAGGTTCATGAGTAAATATTAACATTCAATAAGATTTGGGTTTATGTTATTAGGACAATAAGAGTTGTCTATTTTCTTTGGTTATCTCCAATTAAAACATTAAAAATAAATTAATGACTTATTAGAGAAATCAGACTTCTGATTTCTGATTTCTGTACAATCAGATTTCTGACTGTACAGCCTACTCTAAGGAAAATGGCTTCTCTAACTCATGCAGTTCTTACTAGGGTTAGCTGCCAATGACGACACAATGATATATATAGTTTTTCTGGTTGAGGAGGGAGGCAGAAACTTGGTCATTGTCTTTCTCTTTGTTTTATTTAAATATCTCAAAATAGTTGGGTGTCAAAGTCATCCTCAAGTTTTAATACTTATGCATATGCACACACACACAAAAAGCCACACTGGAAAAAAAAAAAAAGACAAATACGTACATTGATTCAAATTTTACAAAAATATTGGGGATATTCAACTTGAGAAGTTCAAAAGGCTGCTGAGAAATGCCATATCTTCAGTTCTCACATAATAGAGGGCAAGGCTCTGAACTTCCTCTTAGATTTGATTGAGTGCCCAAAGTTTAGATACACCGTTTAATAGTATGTACATAGTTCTCCTGTTGACTGAAGTTTTCCTTTGTTAAAAGGCAAGCGCTAAAACAGCCCAAGTTTCCAAAAACAGTTTTATTTTTCTTGGCCTACAATCCTAGCCCTAATGACAGGGTGTTACACCCCAAAATCCCTGCAAATTCTCACCCTATGACACTGTTCCTGAAAGATGCATGAAAACTGGCCTGGCTCCCACTAACTGTCCCAACCTTGATATATCCTGGTCTTGTCAAAAACAGGTTTCCCCTGCTACTGAAAAGTAGAGTGTTCCTGTGAAACCTTTCATAAACCCAAATGGAGTAAAGTGAGGAACAATCACCATTTTGTAAAAGCAGAAATTCTCTTCAGATTTCTTTCCGTTGGCAAAAACAGGCACTAATGTAGGTCTCTAATGAAAGCAAAGTGACTTAATGCAAACTTTTGGATAGCATAGGAAACCTGCCCTGGTCAAACCAATGTCAGTCGTATACACAGTCGCATGCCCCATTATGGGTAAGCCACGTTTCTAAAGAAAACATCACCGCACACATCTCTAGGTGATGTACAGGCAGCAGACAGAAACATGAAAGCGATTATCAGTGAAAGTCAGCTTCAAACTGCGTAGAAGAAAACATTTGAGACTCTAACTGAAATACCATTCTCAAGCACCAGGATTAGACACATGGATAACTTCCCCAGTTTGCATGTACTCAGAATCCAACTGGGCATGGGTTCTGCCTGAAGATTGACCCCGAATCTACTAAAAGACCTCCAGAAAGTGATGACTCCTGAAAATACAGCTTCCTCCCAAGAGCTTGGAATCAAGGATAGGACAACACACTTGGTATATATACTGCCTGTTCTTTCTCACTTCTTCCCCTTGTGTTTAATCATTTTGTGCTGTTGACAAAATGTGGTACAAGAACATGATTTCACCCAGTGTATGAGATCTCTACCCTGACCAGGAATTCCCAAACTAAAACAGAAGTTTCTCGATTGTGGCTCAAACAACAAATGAAACCACTCACCTAACAAATGCTTTATCATAACTTCACTGGCTAAAACAGAGCCAGATAATAAAAGTGTCCTCAACTATTTATTGGCCGGCCAAGTAGTATTGGCACAATTGTTAACAAATGGGATAAATACTCGGGGGGCGCAGGGAGGCACAGAACAGAACAATCAATAAGTTGAGAAAAAAGACTTTCCGTTCCTAAAATTGACCAAGCTGATTCTTGGGGAGTTAATCCTTCTGGTTAGGTGTAAGCAAACTAAAAAATACTGGATGTATGAAGTGAATTTCACTTATTTCTTATGATATTTCTCCATTGTCTAACATCCAGGTAGGCTTACATGCTGCCACTTGGACACTATTTCAAGATGACATTCAAATAATGACACCACATAAGAAAAGGAGTCAAATCCGCATGGGCAACCTAGACTGGGAGTTTCACCAAAGGGGGAACAAGGGACATCAGTAAAGGATATGGCGGTAATCTGGAAAAACTGAGAGGCACAGACACTGACACAGATAGCCTGTCAAATAGAATACTCAGATTCTCAAGTGTGTCCTTCTGCCTTCTCTTTTTTTCTTATATAAAATCTTATTTTTCCTTTGTTAAACGAAACCAGTTTAACAGTGGTTCCCCATGTATGAAAGTAAACAGCACGCTAATAGATTCTCCCACTTTAGGGGAACTGTCTTCTACAGGGCCCTACCTGAGAGCTCTTCTTCAATCCGATCATCTCCACTCAGAGGCCTGGTCTGTCTAGTCCTTGAAGAATGTCCGTCCGTTTGTGAATGCAAATATTTACTATTTTTTTAAAAAACAACTTATCTACCAATGCAGAGACAAAAGCCTTACCATGTACTCAGGCTGCTTATGTTAATGTAAAAAGTATCATAGGTATTTTTACCCCATAATATTTTTATTATAAAGTTTAAAAGTTATACATAGAAAAATATAATAAACTCCCTGTACTTATTACCCAACCCTAACAATTATTAACTTCTGGCCTATCTTGTTTCACCCATGTGCCCTTCCCCAATTCTCTAATTGTTTTATTTTCAAGTAAATTCCAGACAGCGTATCATTCCATTCTATATGGTTTTCAAAACATATATGAAATCATACCACATATTTTGTTTTTTAATGTCACAGGATCCCCATCACAATGGGTAAATAAATTTAGTACTTTATCTTGTAGACTGCTGTGATTCTAGGGTCTCTCAATAAAAAACAATACACAATTTTCTTTAATTCCTCATTTTGTTGGTATCAACAAACTTATGCATAACACGTTTTGGTCTAGGGACCTTTAACAACAAATTCCTGTATTATTATAATTTGAAATACATTGTAATTGCTCTGACCTTGGGATTATATTCAGCATTTCGGGCACGAAGTGCAATGGTCTTTAGGTCAAGCTTACAGCCAAGATTCACCGTAGATACAATATTTCTGCAAGAAATTTGAAAAGAAAGCATGATCATTTAACTTTTACAGGATGAAGTGTTAGATAATTATCTAGAAATCTGATTCTTTTACTAGAACAATGTAATTAGGTCAGTTTAAATTTTAATTAAAAAAATTTTACATTGGGGCACCTGGGTGGCTCAGTCAGTTGAGCGTCCGGCTTCAGCTCAGGTCATGATCTCACGGTTCATGAGTTCGAGCCCCACGTCGGGCTCTGTGCTGACAGCTCAGAGCCTGGAGCCTGTTTCGGATTCTGTGTCTCCCTCTCTCTCTGCTCCTCCCCCGCTCATGCTCTGTCTCTCTTTCTCCCTCTCTCTCCCTCCCTCTCTCTCTCAAAAATAAATAAACATTAAAAAGTTTTTTAAATAAAAATAAATAAAAATTAAAATTAAAAAAAAATTTACATTGTTGACATTTATTATGTTTACCACACACCATGGTGAGCATTTTACATGGGTTACCCCACTTAATACTTACAATGCACTATGAAGTAATAACTATTAATATTCACATCTTCAGATGCAGAAGCTGAGGCTTAAATGGCATGGTTGCTCCAGATAAAATGGGATCCTTGCTCCAGATAAACACGGCTCCTAAGTGGTAGCCAGGCTTTCAGTCCATCTATCTGCAGAGCCATGCCTTAGCCTTCTGAACGAAGCCCTTATTTGCCCTTTGAATGACACTAATTGCCCATAAACCATCATGCACGGGCATGGGACATCACTGTCGTATGAATACCGATTCCAGATTGCAAATACATCTCCAGCTGTTTCCAGCTCATTGCTGCTTTTGGTTCCCGTCCTGTCAAAATGCAACAGTTTGAAAACTTGATGGCTCACAACTGGGTTGGATAAGAGGATAGCTGTGTTTTTTTCTCTTTTAACTTTTTTTTAATGTTCATTTACTTTTGAGACAGAGACAGAGCATGAGCAGGGGAGGGGCAGAGAGAGAGGGAGACACAGAATCCGAAGCAGGTTCCAGGCTCTGAGCTGTCAGCACAGAGCCCAACATGGGGCTCAAACTCACAAACTATGAGATCATGACCTGAGCTGAAGTCGGGCGCCAGACCGACTGAGCCACACAGGTGCCCCAAGCTGTGTTCTTTAATAAACAATTGTAAGGCCAATTGGAATAATCAACCCAAGGGGTGCCTGCATGGTTCAGTCAGTTGAGTGTCTGACTCTTGATTTTGGCTCAGGTCATGGTCTCACGGTACGTGAGATCGAGTGCAGCATGGAGCCTGTTTGGGATTCTCTCTCACTCAATAAACAAATGAGCATTAGAAATAAAAAAATGATCAACCCAATGAATGTTTTCATTTCTGCCTCACCTATTTCCTTCCAATTAATTTTATATACACACCTGCCTTTAGCATTTCTCTACTTAAGAAATAATCAAGTTGTGGTACATCTACCACAAATTTAGTCACATATTTGCTACATGTATTTTTTTCTTCTTAAGCAACAGTGCATAAGGGTTCAAATTTCTCCATATCCCCAACACTTGTTATACTATTTTTGATAATAGCCATCCTAATGGGTATGAGGTGGTGGTCTCATTGTAGTTTTGACTTGCATTTACATAATGTTTAGTGACGTTGAGCATCCTTTCATGTGCTTATTGGCTATTTGTGTATTTTCTTTGGCAAAATGTCTATTCAAGTCCTTTGCCCATTTTTGGAATCAGGCTCTTTGGTTTTCATTGTTGAGTTTCAGTAGTTCTTTAAGTATCTAGATAATAATCCTTTATGGGATGCATTTTCTCCCTTCCTGTTGGTTGCCTTTTTACTCTGTGAACAGTGTCTTTTGGTATACAAGTTTTCTTTTTAAAAAAAATTTTTACAAGTTTTAAAAGTGTCATGTAGTCTACTTTATGTTTTTTCTGTTGTTACCCATGCCTTTGTGTCACATCTGAGAAAACATTGTGAAGTCCAATGTCACAAAGCTTTTGTCCTATGTTTTCTTCACCGAGTTTTATTGTTTTAGGTCTTACACTTAGGTCTTTGATCTATTTTAAGTTAGTTTTTTATTTGGTGTTAGCTACGGGTCCAACTTCATTCTTTTGCATGTGGATATCCAGTTGTCCCAGCACCATTAGTTGAAAACACTATCTTTTCTCCATTGAACAGTCTTGGGACCCTTGACAAGTATCATTTGACCATATATGCAAGGGTTATTTCTGGGCTCTCTATCCTACTGCATTGGTCTATATGTCTGCGTTTATGCCAATACCACAGTTTTGATTGCTGAAACTTCGTAGTAAGTTCTGAAATTAGGAAGTGAGAGCCCTCTGGTTTGCTCTTCCTTTTCAGGATTGTTTTTGGCCATTCAAAGTTCCTTGGGATTCCATTTGAATTTTAGCATGATTTTTTCTACTTCTGCAAAAAATATCATTGGGATTTTGATAGGGATTGCACTGCACCTATAGATCATTTTGGGCAATATTAAAATTTTGACAATATTAAATCTTCTAATCCATGAACCTGAGATGTGTTTCCACTTTTCATGTCTTTTTTAAAGTTCTTTCAGCAATGTTTTATAGTTCTCATCATACGTCTTTCACATCCTTGGTTAATTCCTAAGTACAACAAAACCTTGGTTTGAGAGCATAATTCAATCCAGAAACATGCTTGTAATCCAAAGCACTTGTCTATCAAAGCAAATTTCAAGAACCATTGGCTAGGTTGTGATCATGTGACATTCAGCATCACGTGCTACTCGTATTGCAAGACACTGCTCATTTGTCAAGTTAAAATTTATTAGAAATGTTTGCTCATCTTGCGAAACATGCAGAGAACAAGTCACCCACAATTCAAGGTTTTAGTGTATTTTATCCTTTTTGATCTTGTTAATAGAATTGTTTTTGTAATTTGCTTTTCAAAAAAAATTTTTAATGTTTATTTTTAAGAGAGAGAGAGTGTGAGCAGGGAAGGGGCATAGAGAGAGAGGGAGACACAGAATCCAAAGTGGGCTCCAGGCTCTAAGCTGTCAGCACAGAGCCCAACCCTGGGTTCGAACCCACGAATCGTGAGATCACGATCTGAGCTGAAGTCAGGCACTTAATCGACTGAGCTACCCAAGGACGACTGAGCTGCCCAGGGACACCTGTAATTTCCTTTTCATATTGTTCACTGTCTATATACAGAAATGCAACTGATTTTCAAGTGTTAACTTTGTATCCTGCTACTTTGCTAAATAAACTCACTTATTATAGCTAACAGGTTTTTTTGTGGACTCATTACGATTTTCTACACATAAGATCATAACATCTGCCAACACATAATTTTATCTCTTCCTTTCTACTCTAGATACCCTTTTTTTGTCTTGCTCTGGTACTATGTTGAATAGAAATGGGAGAAAGAGCGGGGTGCCTGGGTGGCTCAGCCAGTTGAGCATCCGACTTCAGCTCAGGTCATGATCTCACAGTTTGTGGGTTCGAGCCCCGCGTCGGGATCTGTGCTGACAGCTCAGAGCATGGAGCCTGCTTCGGATTCTGTCTCCTTCTCTCTCTGCCCCTCCCCAATGTGTGCTCTGTCTCTCTCTGTCTCTCTCTCTCTCAAAAATAAATAAATGTAAAGAAAAAAGAAAAAAAGAAAGAGATGGAGAAAGAGGTTGTCCCTCCCTTGTTCCTGATCATAGAGGAAAAGCATTAAGTCTTTCAATGTTAAGTATTAGGTTTGCTATGGTTTTCTAAATATGGCTTTTACTATGTTAAGGCAGTTTCCATCTTTTCCTATTTTGTTGAGTGTTCTTACCATGAAAGGGTGTTGAATTTTGTCCATTCTTTTTCTGCATCAATTGAGGTATCCGTTTTCTTTTCATTTTATTGTTGTGGTATATTACAGTGGTTGATTTTTTAAGGTTAGTTACTTAGGGGGGGGGGGGGGAGACAGAGAGAGAGCGAGCATGAGCAGGGAAGGAGCAGAGAGAGAGGAAGAGAGAGGATCCCAAGAAGGGTCCATGCTGTCAGCACAGAGCCCAATGAGGGGCTCGAACTCACAGTGAGATCATGACCTGAGTCAAAATTGAATCGAATGCTTAACTGACTGAGCCACCCAGGTGCCCCCAATGGTTGATTTTTGTATGTTGATCTACCCTTTCATTCTAAGAATAAATCCCACTTGGTCATGGTGAATAATCTTACACCATGCTGCTTAATGATGTTTCCTAGTATTTTTTTGAGGATTTTTGTATCAATGATCAATGGGGATACCGGTCTGTAGACTTTTTAGTATCTTTGGCTTTGGTGTCAGCGTACTGCTGGCCTCACTGAATGAGTTAAAAAATGTTCCCTCGATTTTGCAGAAAACTTTGAGAAGGACTGGTATTAGTTCTTCTTTAAATGTCTGGTAGAGTTCACCGAAGCCATTCGGTCCAGGGATTTTCTTGACTCTGCCACCTCCCCAGAATTCTTCTTAAAAATGTATGATTTTCTTTAAGTTTACTAATTTAAATAATCTATACACCCAACATGGGGCTCAAACTCACAACCGCAAGATCAAGAGTCGCATGCTCTTCCAACTGAGCCAGCCAAGCACCCGTTAAAAATGTGTTCTTATATATTTTCACTGATTATCTATCCCAAGTCTTCATAAGCTTGTAGGATTTAGAGGCCACTGAATTCCCAACCTACCAGGGTTCTTAATGGATATGGAAACTCAGTAACGTGTCTGACTAGATGCCTTGTGGAATACCAGAAGGGTTAAGGTGCCAAGATGAAACAAACACCCCATCACAACTGGTTATAACTTATGATTTAAACAAGAGGTAAAAACTTAAATGGCCATAAAAGCCAGACAAGCAAGCAAGACACCAGGGAATGTTGCTGAAAAATGTGAACTAACAAGGGATTATCTCTCTAAAGTATTAAAATGAAAATCATCTGATTTTTAAAATCACATCAGATCAAAAATCTGAGGCAAGATTTGGATAACAGGATCTACGATGAAATATTACTTAGTGACAAAAATGACCAGCGATGGCTGGTGAACTAATTATTGCAAATGACCCTTCACTTTGGCCATGCTTCCTAAAAGCAAAAGCTATGTACTTCACACTGATAGATACAAGAGAATATTGGTGTATTTTTCAGGACTTTTTTCCTACCTCCACCCTGCGTCCAATTCTGATACATATAGGACCCATTTAATTTATACAGAAAAATCCACTGAGGGCAAGAACAGACATTCTCAGCTTGTGGAAAGGACACAGCTCTCCAAAGAGTTATATGCAGCCCTTATAATAACCAATGAAGACAAACAAGGACCACTGTGAACTAAGTAACTAATCTTCCAATCTTCCCTTCCCAAAGAAAACATCAAAGGGAAAGAGACCATGTAAGGCTTGATTCAGCAAATCAGCTGCAGGGAAATGTCTACAACAATTTGATAGCTTGGCCCAAGGACATAAACGCGAGCTACCCCATCTACCCAATATGAGGCGATGTTATGAGAGCCTTTTACTAAGGGAACTGACTCACTGAGGCAACTTTGCATCCTTTCTCCTGTGGGAGACAGAGCAAGAGCAAATTTAGACATACGATGACCACTAGTGCCACCCCCTCGACAACTCAATCCGTCTGAAACAAAGAAGAGCAGCACCCGCCGCAAGGGGCCCCTCTGGGTTGAGGGAAAGACACAAATTACTCACTGCAGCTGCGGCACGATCCCAGAGCTCTCAGAGGCTGGCGTGGCGGGGGTAATGGGCGTCATGGGGGTCATGGGGGAGGGATACAGGGGAGTGGTGCCCGGCAAGGGTGCAGTGGTAAGAGTCTGTGAGTGGAAGAGCTGTGGTGTCTGGCCCGAGGCCGCCTGCGTCGCCTGCTGGGATGCTGACTGCTGAACGGTCGCCACTGCCTGCTGCTGCTGCTGCTGCTGAGCCTGCTGCTGCTGCTGCTGCTGCTGCTGCGCCTGTTGCTGTTGCTGCTGCTGCTGCTGCTGCTGCTGCCTCTGCTGCTCCTCCAAGATGGACAGACTGTTGGTGCTCTGAATAGGCTGTGGAGTCAGTCCTGTGCCGTAAGGCATCATCGGACTGAAGATGGGGATTCCAGGAGTCATGGCACCCTGTGGAAGGTCAGGAGGACAGTAAGTCAAGCCAGCTGGTATTGTTTCCAGCACCTGTCTAGTAGAAGAGGAGGTGAGACGTACAAAGACAGATGCTTTCCGAATATAAATGGAGTCATGATGCATAACAGAAAGGCATTTGCTGTCCTTACACACATCACTTTCTTCTTCACCATAGCACAGTAGGTAAGAGCCTGGTATTTAGAATTATACCCGGGTGTGAAATCCAACCCTGCCACTTATTACATGTGAACACTCAAGGAAGTTGCTTAACCGTTCAGGCACATCAACAGGATAACGATGTTCTAATACTGCTAGAAAGTATAAAGGACATAATTGGAGCGACTGCCCATGCTTTTAAACTATTATCCTGGCATACTACCTGGGTAGTTCCCCATTTCACTCGCAATGTATCTGTCCAAGTTTGCCTAATAAATTATATAGTTAGCCCAGAGATGCCACTGAACCCATTCAACACGATGACAGGCACGCAGAAGATACTGAAGTGTTAGCAACAATAATGACGACAATTATTAGAATACTATTCAAAAACGTGGATCATTTGCTCTCCAAAAAGTTTATATTGTGCTCGCTTTGGCAGCACGTATACAAAAAGTTTATATCAAGAAAATCCAATGCATCTATCAGAATAATATCAATTTATTTTTCCGAATGCTTCTTAACTTCCAGATACTGTCACATTTATTAATTTAATTTAATAATATATTTATTAATATATAATTTATGATAAAATTAATTTATCTCATCACAGCCCTCTGGGAAAGGAAAAACTCGATGTTCTTCCCACATTAAGGACAAGAAAACTGACACCAGGAGAAGCTAAAGGACTTCCCCAAGACCACAGGTCTCACCAGCAGAGAAGCCACAATGACAGCCAAGTTTTTCTGGGAGCCAGTCTAATGCCCTCACCCAGCACCAACTCTACAGAGCCCATAGAGCCTGCAGAGTTTGCAGTGACTCTGTGAACCTCTTCAAAGTATACCTAGTATTTCTGCATCAAGGAATCCATAGTTTTCGTCAGATGCTCAAATGCGTGCAAAATTCAAAAAGGAGCCACAATCCTCTCCCACTTCCACCACTTTATTTGGCAGAAAGCATAAACCAAAATTGTCTAAGGTTTATGTTAAATTGTTTCATCAACATAGTGGCAGAAAGAGTATGAGAGGAGGAGGGTCAAACATACACCGCAGCCCTAATAGTATAGGTACGATCATACTGCGTTGATCACTCACATCTGTAAAATACTGGCTAGAAAAAATTCAGGTTATGTGACTTCAAAAAGAGTGAGGTTTTGAAAGGTCTGCCTTTCTTTATGTCACGTATACAAATGAACTCAAAATGGATCACAGGCACACATGTAAAAGCTAAAACTTTATCAGAAAGAGAAAATCCTTAAGACTTTGGGTTAACCAAGATTTCTTAGGACACAGAAGCACTGACGCTGAAATAAAATTGGTAAATGGACTTCAGAGAAAAATTAAGACCTTCTACTCTTTGAAAGATATCATTAAGAAATTAAAAAGTAAGCCACACCACAGACTGAGAGAAAATATCTACAATACCTACATCTCAGAAAGGACCTGTATCCAGAATACACAAAGAACAATTACAATTCAATAAAAGACAAACAAATAAGCCAGTTAAAAAAATGGGCGAAAGATGTGAAGGACATTCTACAAATGAAAATAATGCAGTTGGCCAATAAGCATTGACAGGATGCTCAAGATTGTTAGTCATCAGGACAATGCAAATTAAAATCACAAAGAAACAGCACTAAGCAACCACTAGAATCGCTAAAAGTTAGAGTGTCAGTGAGGATGTACAGCAAGCAGAACTCTCACATTGCTGCTGGTGGACCTAGAGTATGGTCTGGCAGTTTCTTATAAAGTGAAACACACACTTACCACAGACCTAGCAATCCCACTCATAAGTATTTACCCAAGAGAGACAGAAACAGTCTACACAAAGCCTGTTCACAAATGTTTACAGCAACTTTATTCATAATATCCCCAACCTGAAAACACCCACAATGTCAGCAAGGAGAGAGTAGATACACAAGATGTGGTACATCCATACAATCGAGTACTACTCGGCAATAAAAAGGAATCTGCTGATATACAGATGTTATATTGGGCAAAGAAGAGAGATACACAAAAAAAGCACATACTGGTATGGTTCCATTTGTATGACTTTCTAGGCTAAGCAAAACTATCTTCAGCTCTCGATCAGAGCAGTTGTATACACACAGGTGTACACAATTATCAAAACACACCTAAAGTGGGTGTTCTTATCATGAGTTAATTTTTTAAAAGTAGATGTTATTTGGAACCTTAAACATAAAAAAGAAATGCTAAAAACAGAAAATAACTTGGCAAAAGTTACTTTCAAAATCAAAGGCCCGATAGTCACATGGAACACTTTCATAAACATTTATCAAAAGATTAAGATTTACAGACAAATACATATTTTAACTTCCAAATAAACTCCTCAAATTTAACACTATCAAGCCTACTCAAAGCCTAATACAATGTCTCAACAAAGTAAGAGGCTTAAAATCAGACAAATCAATTTCAACGACAGATGGTTAAATTCCCTTCCTTTCTTTTTCTACTGCCTCTAACAGTGTAGACTCTGTCCCATCTACACCCTCCCTCCAGTTGTATTACCTGAGGGGAGGCCAGGCCCTGAGCATAAGGTGGCAGGCTGTTGTTCTGATCCATGATGTTCACTTTCTTCTTGGTAAATTAAACACCTTTGGACTGGAACTCGCCTCGGCATTCAGTCTCTTCCTAAAGCATCCCCAGTACACACTTCTTAGCAATTTCCTCAACTGCTTGCGTTGTCTTCGTGCACACCAAGAAACGGTAACGCCACTTTGAAAAAAGTTTGAGGTTTAATGTAAGAATACAAGCTGTACAGTCTTTTATGAACCAGTTTCATAATTACACAAAAAACTAGAAAAAAGCAATGAAGCTATTTTGGAATATACTTTTTAACCTTATAATGCTGAAATCCTATTCCCTCCCATGTTTATTGGGACCGCATGCAAAACTACCACTAGAACAAAAAGTGTTTTATTACATGTTTAATTTAAATGCTCTTAGAATGTTCAGCGGTGCTTGGGTGGCTCAGTCCGACTTCAGCTCAGGTCAGGATCTCACAGTTCAGGAATTCAAGCCCCACATGGGGCTCTGTGCTGACAGCTCAGAGCCTGGAGCCTGCTTCGGAATTTATGACTCCCTCTCTCTCTGCCCCTCCCCCGCCCACACTCTTGTCTCTCTGTCTCTCGAAAAATAAACATTAAAAACTTAGTTTTTAATACTTAGAATGTTCAAAAATAAGGTGTCATAATCAATATTTAAAAACTTTTGGGAAATCGAGGCGCCTGAGTGGCTCAGTCGGTTAAGCGGCCAACTTCGGCTCAAGTCATGATCTCAAGGCTTGTAGGTTCGAGCCCCAAGTTGGGCTCTGTGCTGATACCTTGGAGCCTGGAGCCTGCTTCAGATTCTGTGTGTGTGTCTCTCTCTCTGTACCTCCCCCGCTCATACTCTATGTCTCTCTCTCTCCAATAAATAAACACTAAAACAAACAAAGAAACAAAAAAAACTTTTGGGAAAAAACAGAGAAAACACATTCCTAAGGAAACTGTCAAATCAGAGTAGAAACATTTATTTTTTATGTTTATTTTTGAAAGAGACAGAGCGGGGGGGGGGGGGGCGCAGAGAGAGAGGAAGACACAGAATCTGAAGCAGGCTCCAGGCTCTGTCAGCACAGAGCCCGATGTGAGGCTCAAACTCACCAACGACGAGATCATGACCTGAGCTGAAATCAGACACTCAACCGACTGAGCCACCCAGATGCCCCTGAGTAGAAAAATGTATTAAGCACTGTGTACAGAGTGCTATTGGGCCAAGTTGAGGTTTTTAAATATTCCAGTCAGTTTTATATCCTCCACAATGTCTTAGGTGTTAATTTCAATAAATAGTGAATTGGATCCAACATACTTTAACGTGATATTTATTGATCTACTAAGTTATTTATTTTTTAAAAAATACTGCTTCATTCTTGCCTTGTTTTATTCTTTTAAGTTTATTTATTTATTGGGGGGCAGGGGGTGAGGGATGGCAGAGGGAGAGAATCCCAAGCAGGTTCTGCACCATCAGCACAGAGCCAACATGGGGCTCAAACCCACAAACCATGAGATCACGACCTGAGCCAAAGTTGGACACTTAACTGACTGAGCCATCCAGGTGCCCCAATCTAACTGAATACAACACTGTGATAGAAGATGTACAGACACAAAAATAAATAAAACATGTTTTTAACGTTTATTTTTATTTTTGGGACAGAGAGAGACAGAGCATGAACGGGGGAGGGGCAGAGAGAGAGGGAGACACAGAATCGGAAACAGGCTCCAGGCTCCGAGCCATCAGCCCAGAGCCTGACGCGGGGCTCGAACTCACGGACCGCGAGATCGTGACCTGGCTGAAGTCGGACGCTTAACCGACTGCGCCACCCAGGCGCCCCTAAAACATGTTTTTATATATGCAATAACTTGACCTCTTTAGAACACATAAATACAAACTATGCCTCTATCTAGCTTTCCTTAACACATCATTTCTTTACTGGCTACACATTTTTTATTTCTTTTAGAAAAAAGAATCAAGTGACTACTGAAAGACCTTTTGTTGAATTTAGTTCAGATGGCTCCTTACCTTGATTAGAGTTGCTTTGAGAACTAGAGTCAAACAGTACTGGCTCATCAACATATCAAGAACAGCATCTAGTTATCACTTAGTAAGCCCAAGATAAATGTTAGCTATTAGTAGATTTCAGTTTAAACATTAAAATCTAAGAAGATATTGGCACATATAGAACTTGCTGGTCTGAAAGTTACAAATTATATACCAAAGACACACACGAGCTTCAAACATGTACTGGTACAAAGTAAGCACTCAGATATTTGTTGAATGAATGAAAGAATCAATCACTTTGACAGGACAAAGGACCAAAGACTATATATCCTACATACTCATCACTGAAAAAGGGGGGAAAAAAAACCCAAAAAACTCTGGTTCAGAAAATGTCAGATATAATAAAATTATATTTTTTAAATTGTTATCCTATAATAACAGTAGAAGTGATGCAAATATGAAGAGGAAATAGTCATTAGCATCAAAGAGTTCCATGTGAAGGGTATACAAATAATTACTCCAAAACTTAAGTGCTGTAACAGAGGTGTACTATGCCAAGTTCCTGGAGTGCAGAATCTCACCAATGTCTTAGCACCATGCCTGGCATATAGTAGGTCATCAAGAACAAATGCACACATGCTGTGGACGGTAAGACATAGCAACTGCCAAGTGTCCTGAAGGGGAATGTGTTCACAAAGCACGATCACTGGACTTGGGTCTAGCAAGGTAAGCAGGAATTTACAAATCAGCACTGCAGGCAAAAGACCAAGCACAAGGAGACAAAGACTGCAAAAGCATGCAATATGCAAGCAACAAGCTCTGGAGAGGAGGTAGCAAATATAAGTGGGGTCACACTGTCTACCAGTTTTACATATCACATAGGCAAAAGAGCAGGGACAAGATTTTGAAGTGCAGCATGAGTAGGTCTACTTTGGCAAGTGTGGATGAATTCAAAGAGATAAAACTAGAGGCTGGAAGTTCACCTTAAGGCAGTCACTGCTATGGTTAAAGCAAGAAATAATGAGAGCAGGATTTCAAGCACTCATAAACATGACAAGAGCTTTCTCCAAAACTGGTGGCTCCTGACCCCTTAGTGCACCTCAGAGTCTACATAAGAAATCTGCAGCACTAGGTCCGGGCCGATGTTACGATTGTTCAGAGGTCATCCCTCATTGCCAGTGATGGCACCGACCATTTTTACTCACCTGTGCCATTAAAACCACAGTTATTACTTCTAACTTAATCCTACTTAGTTACTACTACCGTTAGCTATTACTTATAACTTATCCTATAATACTAACTTATCCTTTGAAAAGAAAGTTGTTTGCAGAGTGTGTTCATATTTTGGAAACTGAAGCATCAAATTTGATCTTTTTAAAAGGCAATCACAGATAAGGGAAAAGAATCAGTTAATTTTGCATTGCCCCCCAGTGTCTGCATAAACCACTCAAGCGTATTATTTTTCACACAGAAGCCTACCTAGAATTTTAAATTAGAAAAGCACACGGCCTGGGGCCTAGGCAGCTAGGCCTTGTAAACCAAGCGCTGTGTATTCACAGCTTACGCTCTATCGTGCCGGAAATCTCTAGCCTCTGACAAAACGTTAAAGTCTCAAGCACAACTTTATAACAAAGCCATTCCTGCTGACAGCAAAAAAAGGAGGACAAAGGCCAGGTTCAATCTGCCCTCCAACATCAACGAGGAGAAAAGGATGGCAGGACAGGAACTCCGGGTCTCGGATGTGCCGGACTGTTGCGTCCCGGGCACTCCCGGAGCCCTGCACCCGAACTCGCACGATGAAAGCCGTTGTTAAAGCACAGCAGATGAGGGCACCGGGCGGGACAGGCGGCCGGGGTGGGTGGGCGGCCGGTACAGGCCGGAGCGGCGTCGGCACGAGCGGGGAGGAGCGGCCCCCGCGCGGCCTGCGTGCCCACTCAGCGTCTCCCTCACTATCGCCCCAGGGACTCGCTGCAGTGGTCGCCTCTGCACCAATCCTCAGAGAAGAGGTAAAGCTAAAGGGGCTGTTACCTGGAGTCCCTGCAGAGACCACTGCGGGGCCGCGAAAACGAAGTTAAGCCACAGACGGCCCAGGCGCCCGCCACGGCGACCCTTCCCGACCCTACTAAACTTCTGGCGCGCGTTGATAATGTCACTTCCGCCAGTTCTTCCATCCTAGGCTTCAGCCAGTTGTCCAACTAGAGTGGCGGCCATGGGAAGTGTGGGCACTCCGTCACTTCCGCTGTTTCCGCAACAGTTCCGCTGGGTAGTTGGCTTAAGGGAAAGAAGGGGCGGGCTGAGCTCCCCGGGAGTTCTAGGGGGTGAGCCGCCGGACCAGAACGTTTTCTGATTGGTCCTTGCCGAGGGGAGGCAAGATAATGATTTTCAAATGTTGACTTTTTGAAGTCTAGCGGTGTGACCTTCGGCAAGTTACCCGACCTCAGCGCCTCAGTTAGTAGAATGGAATAATAGTAACAGTCACCCTCTAAGGAAGTTGTGAGATGGATTAAGGAAATGCAGGAGCAATGCCAGGCACATGGTAAACTCTCCGCGCATGTTAGCTATTTTCAAACTTGGAGAATGAAAAGAAAAAAAACAGCCTGGTTTACAGGTTCAATTCTATTTTGTTTCTGCTACTACCATTTTATGCACTCTTGTCACACTTGCCACAAAGAGACTGTTACTGAACCCCAAATTCTGCTGCCCCTGGCTTGAAAAGGCAATACTCAGGAGATGATTTTGACTGAAAAGGAATACGAGCTTTGTTCAAGAGGCCGGCACCTGGGGAGAAGGTGGACTCTTATCCAAAGCCAGCTTAGAGGTTTCTGCCTGGCCAGGGAATTTTTTTTTTTTTTTTTTTTTTTTTTTTTTTAATTTTGATTTTAGGGCCCCCGACCGCGGGGGGGGGGGGGGGGGGGGGGCGCCGCGGTGCCGAAGATCTCAAGCTGACTCTGCGCTGACAGCAGAGAGCCCAATCATGAGCCCTGAGATTGGGCTGTTGGATGCTTAACCAACAGCCACCCAGGCGTCCCCTGGCCCAGGGATTTTTAAAGGAGTTTAGGGCAGTTAATCAGTAAAAGGACTGCAGTGGTCCATAGTATTTCTTGTTGCAAGCAGAATGGGTGGTGTCAGTTACAGATGTTATCGCAGTGCTCAGAGGTTGTGCAAGGGGTGTGGTTCCTCAGTGCCCAGGGTTGTCCAAGAGGGTCTGGTCTCTGTTTTGTGACATGCAGAGGTGCTCTGTTCTTCCTAGGAAAGAATGCATGATGGATAGATTAAGAAAGGTCAATCACTTGGGCTAAGGGTTCTTGTTAAAGCTCAAAGATAGTAGGTTGGTGGGAAGGGCTTGAAGGGGCTTTAGTTTCCCACTGTCCATTTCATCATTCCATATCTATGAGATTAAGGGTGAAGGTCCGTCTTCTGTAGCTACTTCCTGCTGACTGGGGACCACCTAGGGATTTTGGAATAAAGCCTTTTACAGGATGGGAAATTCTTGTTTCTGGCATTTCCACTGAGGGGGACGCTAAAGACATCTCCAAGTTTGTATGAATAGCATGAGCTCCTGCTTGATGGATGCAAAAAGTCAAACAACAGAAGAGAAAGAGAACAGGAAATATAGCAATGTTTAATAGGGTATATTTCCATTTGGAAGGAATTAAATCTAGCCAACTGCTAAAAGGATCTAGAGCTAGGGCATCTATAGTGGTAATGTGTTTAAATCTTTCATGACTTCAGTTACATTTTTTGAGTATATACACAACACTCTATTTTAATGAGAGCCTCCTTAAGCTCTCCTTAAGGTGCCTTCTTGTACTGCAGTCAGGATACCAAAGGCCATTCGGTTTTGGAGCGCCACATTTCAAATTTGTGGGTGACTGCACGTCGGGTTTGGTTACAGGTGGCTGCTGTATGCTTGGCTAAAGCCTCTACTTGCAATATTATATCAATAAAGGTAGCTCCTGGGACAAATATGGTAAGGCATAAAACCATCAAAAGGCCTTCTTTACTTGATGTGCCAGGAATCGCTGTCAAGTGGGAGATGACTTGTCCCAGGAGATAAGGGCATCCCCAAGTGCATCATCCAATCCAGTCATAAGAAAAAGCGAGGCCACCCACTACTTCCACAAGTACACAGTTAGCCCCATGGAATGGGGTGAGCTCCAGCTTCAAAAGAATGGTTTTGTCATCCCAGCCACATAGAATTGGTCAAGGTGATAGTTGAGTTAACCGTTGTTGAAGAGTCCATCCCAATGTCCGCTGTTCAAATTATATGCCCATGGGGCTTGTTATTATCCTCACAGAGCAACAAGCACAAAGACTGTCTATACATGAGCTATTGTGACAATCTCTCTGAAGTTTACCTCAAGTTGTCTAGCTTAGGCAAACAGCAAACACTCAAAGACAATCAGACTAGAATTTAACATCCACAAAGGTGTGTTATTGAAACATAATTTTTCTTCCTAAAGTCACCCTCATTTCCTGCCGGAGTCCGGCTCCAGCAGGTCCAGGGGTTCCCAAAGGATGAGCGGCGTTAGCGAAAAAGTGGAAATAAAACAAAACGAAAATAAAAATGGACACAGACAACAGCAGTGTGTTGAACTGGCCGATTTATTGCAGTAAACGTGGCATTATATATGCTAGTGATTTCCTTGTAGCATACGTCATCTATGTTTTTCTAACATTATCTAATTTTGAAAACGTTCCTTTGTATAATTACCCCATAAGGAATAACATGATTGTTTTGTCATACGTTCCCTCCTGCCCTTTGCTTATTGATTAATTTCTTTTATTGTTTTTATTATGTATCTATGTTTATCTATAATTTATGAAGTATTTGCTTTGCTGTTTTCACGAAAGGTCATTTATCTCTCAACACCTCAAGTGGAACAGTTACAGGGACACGACCTCTTAGTTGTTTCCCTGAATCATTCGTGGTTTTGAAGAACAAAAGTGTTCGCCTGGGTCCGAGGTGCCAGGAAGGGGGCCAAGAGGGCCTTAGAAACCCATGTCTTATACATTCTCAGAGACACAATGGAACCAATGAACCATTCTATACTTTAACCGACTAGGTTCAATCATCATCTGGAATGCCTCCTGGGGTCCAAGTGGGCCCAGGGGTCAGAGTGACCTGTGTCCGTAGATACACTCCTTAGTTACCGGAGTGGGGCTTTCGGATCCATACGTCTCTCCTTCGTTGGCCATCTTTGCTGGCAAATGAATGAGGCTATCCTTCCTGCAAGTAGAGGAGCCTCCATGGGGAATGGCAAGGGCTAAACGCAAGGTCGCACAATTTCTTGCGGAACCTTATTTTCTTCCCTAATGTTTTTTTTTTTCCCCCAGGGGGTCTGCTGAGGGCAATTCCCCAACAGACAATACCCCAGGTACTTTTAAGGCCAAATTACCTAAAAGCGGGAGTACAAGAAGCTTCACTGTCAGTGGGCCGCCCTGCAGTCACCAATCCATCCACAGCCCAGGCTCTGCCACTCAGGCTGGGTAGCTCGGCTTCCAGCAATTTCCAAAGATAGCCAAATTGAGACTAATTCATTTGAAAAACAAGTCTAGTTTTAACAGACTTGGTCTGATTATTTACATAAGCTCAGCAAGAATAGTGATTGACCATATAAATTCTTTAAAACTTGCTTTGCAGGGTGCCTGGTTGGTTCAGTCATTTGAGCACCCAACTCTTGATTTTGGCTCAGGTCGTGATCTCCTGGTTCCATGGAGCCTGTGCTGACAGCACAGAACCTGCTTGGGATTCTCTCTCCTCTCTCTCTGCCCCTCCCCTGCTCTCTATCTCTCTCTCTCAAAATAAATGAAAGGAAAACTTTTTAAAATATTTTTAAAAATTTTAAAAACTTGCTTGCCAAAAAAACAAATGAACAAAACAAAAAACACAAAATTGCTTTGCTAGAACTTTTCATAAGGAATCTCTAGATTGAACTTTTAATAACGACTTGAGGCCAGATACCAAGCCAATAACTTGCCATCAGATTTGCCTGTAATACCTGTAGATTTGGGTGAATTCCTCTTCTTGAGATACCCCACATATTCTAAGGTTTCCTCCACCTTCCAGGAAGTGACATTCTTTACTCACCTAGTAAGGCTGCTGAGAACTCTGTAAGCAAGGTATCCCATGAATATCTCCAAGGAGCTTTATTGACTCTATAAACTCAATCTTAGTTCCTTAAAGGTCCCTGGTCATATCTGAACCTATTCATGTCTTTCTCAAATATGACATTCTACTCAAAACCTTGGTAATATAACCAATATTTCCCACGGTGTCCTGTTACAGGGAGAACAGATTTTTATTGAACTTATGCAAATAATTATAACTGCCATGAAAGAAAGAATACTCACTGAGAGTTTCTGGATTCAGGAAGGTTCATATAGGGAGAAAAGTTAAATGTTTCAATATGTTCACAAATGAATATTTTATCATATTTCTATAAGGCATAGATACCTTAAGAGAAAATTTCTTTAAATGTGGAAAAGCAAACATTAGAGAATCAGCAATGTTTCAAGTAAGGTTTATCATCATTTGTTTGACAGTGTTTCCCAAGTCGCTTAACATACCAAATAAACAAGCCTAATTAATGAAAAAAACTTATTTAGAGGCACCTGGGTGGCTCACTCAGTTGAACACATGACTCTTGATTTCAGCTTGGGTCATGATCTCACAGTTAGGTTCATGAGATCAAACCCCACATTGGGCTCTGAGCTGACATCAAGATGCCTGCTTAGAATTCTCTCTCTCCCTCTTTCTCTGCCCCTCCCCTGCTCATGTGCTGGTGCTCTCTCTCTATCTCTGACTCTCAAAATAAACAAACAAACAAAAAAAACCCTCAAAGTTCTAAAGCACATGCCT